TAAGTTTAATTGACATCTATCACCACATGTAGTTACAAGTTTTTTCTTGTATTGAGAATTTGTAAGATCTATCCCCTTAGCAACCTTCAAATGTACAATATACTACTGTTGACCATCATTACTGTTCTGCCCCGTGACCGCCCCAGGACATATTTTCCTTATAGCTATTACCACATAGAAAACACTGTATATCACCCACCCCCAACTTTCCACCTCTGACAACCACAATATATTCTCTGTATTTGAGTTTTGTTTTTTTTTTTTAAACAGATTCCACACATACGTGAGATCATACAATATTTGTCTTTCTCTGCCTGACTTCTTTCACTTAGCATAAAAACTCAAAGTGCATGCATGTTGTTTCAAATGGCAGAATTTCCTTATTTCCATCTTTTTAATGACCAAGTAATATTCCTCCCCCCCATGTGGGTGTGGGTGTGTGGATGTGTGTGTGGGTGTGGGTATGGGTGTGGGTGAATTTTCTTTATCTACTCCTCCATGGATGGGCTATTTTGTCCCTGTGGAATAATGCTGCACGGGAGTGCACAGTGATTTCATTTCCTGCTCTTAGTATTTTGATGTCTATCTCTTCTATATTTTCTAAGAGAACAGTTCCTTTCATCAGAACATACTGGTCTCTTTATTTTTAATATCAATAGTAGCATAAAAGATAAATGAATCCTTGATTTCAATTCTGAAAGCAGAAATTTAGTAATAATCCAAAATAAGAGCTCTGGAGCCATGTCTCTAAAAGTGTAAGTTTTGCATGTGACCAACTTCAATCTGTATGTCCCATTTTCTCTTTTTAGAGTCATTTACATAAAAAAGCACCCAGATACAAATATACTTTCTCAGTAACTTTTAAATACTATCCATCATTATTCTCAGATGTCTTAGGTTTATTTGAAAAACTCTGAATCCTGTTCAGATTATTTTCTTGCTGTCAGAGTTCTATTTGAAGACTCAATGCCTCTTTTGTTCCACAGGCTCCTCCATGGAGCTTTGCTCTAGCCACTTAGAAGATGCCTTTAGTGGCCTAGTTGTAATGTGCCAGAAAGAAGTTATCTTCTTCGCCTTTTAAGTTAGTTTTCTGAATACTCCCTCTGGGTGGCTTGCATATTGTATAAGAATCAAGGGAAGGAAAACCATTTTTTGAGGTCTCATGACAACCCTTATCCAGTCAGATATTTGCTTGGCTGGTTGCTTCTTCCAACTCGCCCTGGTAGTTTAATAAAGCCGACCACTGGCGTCCTCGCTGTTCTTCTAGCAGACTTCCAGTTCCCTCCTTCTCAAAGGGTACCTGTGAGGACACATTTCAACATGCAGAGACCTCTTGAACACGGTGACTCACTGATTCCTGTTTCCTCGCCCTCTCCTCTCCATGCTTCTGATAGCTCTCACCTGGCATGGTCTCACATCTGAAAGCCCTACTCGCTCCTTCTGCCCTGCCCTCACAGGACTTTCCTCCTTCCTCGGAAGGGAGGCAAGATCTTGACTGAATACTGGAAGTTTCACATCCAGTTTTCTGTGCCCGCAGGTGCTCTGAAAAGGATGCTCAGCTGGGCCTCTGTGCACATTCCAACGAGGCCGTGCCTGCTGCGCCAGGTAAGCCTCAGGTGCCCAACTCTCTGGGCAAAGAAGGTCTAAGGAATCATAAGTCTATACTGATATCTTCTAGATCCTTCATGGGGAGGCTTTGGGGTTGGTGAACCATTTTTTTAGACTAAATCATTAGAAAGAATAATCAGTATAGCTCCCCTTTCCTTGTATCAGCCCTATATTTGGGCGAGTGTGTGTGTGTGTGTGTTTAACCTTTACCGGCCCTATGAGCAGTTTATTTTTTACATTTAATTAATGAGAAAACACAAACTTAGAAGTTAAGCGTCTTGTTCAGGTCACATGGCTAATAAGTGGTGGAACTGTGATCAGAGAGGCTGCAGAATGAGCTGTTTCCTCTCTGCCTCCCAACCCCAACCTCTGTGGTTCCTCTTCTGAGACGAGGCCGGTGGCCAGCCTCAATGGTGTGGGGCCCAACACCCACCAAAAGAGCCCCCCATCGTCTCACCCCTCATAGCAACTGGAGGATTTTTGGTGGTCCCCACCTAGCGTCTCTCTGTCTCACTAGGGGAAGGACTTCACGTCAGCTATGTCATCGGTGGGCTCCTCAGTGTTCTGCTGATTTTGGTGGTGATCGCAGCTTTGATGCTGTACAGGTAACCTCAGCTTCCCAGCCCAGGACCCTGAGTTCCTTGGTCCTTCCAAGCATGTCTGGGCTTTCCTGAAGTGCCACCACTTATGGTTCAACCTCTGTCCAGCCTTATTTTAAGATTTAGCTTATGCTCAGAGTTGCAGAAGGGAAGGGTCCTAAATTCTCCTCCTTCCCTAATTACAGCCTAAGCAGTTCCCTCTTTACATACCTGGGGGACCCTAGGGAAGTTCTGTAGCGACTCGGATGTGGGGGACACAGCAGGTATTTGTCCAAGGTCACACAGTGACAGGCAAAGCTGGGATTGACTCTAGCACCTTCTTTTCCCACTTCCTTTCCCATACTACCTTAAACTACTGATGTTGGAAATAATTTCCCCTTCACATAAATACAACCCTTTTACCCTGTTGGTTAATGTAGGGGTCGTCCTGGGAAAGTAAAATCAGTAGTTTTCAATCTGTGACCCCAACTATGTTTCCATAACACACATATACTACCTGTGTGGTCCCCCACCCCCACCCCAGGGGTTTAGATACCGCCTGCAGCAAAAAGGTTAGGACTTTGCTGCTGTTGTGGCTCTCACTAATAATAACAACAGCCACTGTTGTGATCACTAACAGTCACCATTAGTGATAAGACCACAATGACCTTACACTACAGATATTACTGTTTCTCGCTTTACAGGTGAGGCTCTGAAGCTCAGAAAGTTTAATTTCTACCCACTCCGCTCCCAGCTCCTAAGTAACAGAGGTGGGGCTGAAGCTAAAACTTGGTGTATTAGTTGCTTATTGGTGTCTAGCCAGTCACCCCAAAACTTAGCAACTTATAATGGCAACCGCTTGTTATCTCATAGTCTCTGTGGGACAGAAAGCAGAGGCAGCTTGGCTGGGTGTCTCTCCTCAAGGTCTCTCGAAGTGCTGAGTCCAGGGATCTGTAGCAGCTGCAGGCTCACCTCCAGGCTTGACTGGGGAAGGATGCTGCCCAGGCATACTCCAGAAGCTTGCAGCTTAAGGGTGTATTCACCAGTCAAATGACAGTGACCTCTGCCGTGTCCCTTGGGGTTTCACCCGGTGAAAGTCTTGGCTTCTTGCTGGCTGTGTACTGTGTACCCCCTCATTGCTTTCTTGCCTTGTGGACTTTTCCATTAGACAACTTAAAACATGGCAGCTTGCTTCCTCCAGACCAGGAGTAAGAGATTGAGGGAGGGAAGAGAGCTAAAATGGAGGCCAGAGTTTCCTAGTAATTTAATCTGGTGTCATTGCTTCTGAAGGTGTAAACACAGGGGCGGGGATCCCCCGGTGAGAGATTGCTTACCACACTTAGATTATAACTTCCCCAGGTGTTATCCCCACAAAGATCTGAACTCACTTCTCATCACCTTTTCTTCCTAAAGACACAAAAAATCCAAGTTAACTGATCCTGGCATGGGGAACCTGACCTACAGTAACCCCTCCTACCGAACCTCCACTCAGGAAGTGAAAATTGAAGCCATCCCAAAACCAGCCATGTACAATCAACTATGCTACAAGAAAGAGGTAAATATTAAAAAAAGAAAAAAAAATTTTTTTGGAGCAGGGAGGATTATGCTATCGTTACCTGAATAGGTCAGGAAGGAATTTTGGAAGTTTCAGTGAATAGAGCAAATTAATGGAGTTTGGGTTTCTGGAGAGGTCTAGAATCTCTGAGGGCCAGCTTGAGGGACCCAAGTGAAAGCAAGCTCAGAAAGCAGATCCCAGAAGGTGTAGATCCAAAATCAGGTGGGTGGGTGTGCCTCGCTCTGCCCGCAGGGATTTTCCCAGCCACACTGGTTCTTGCACGCCTCGAATTGACACTCCCCTGTAGTGGAGCTGTGCCTCTCTGAAACAACCCCACATTCCTACACAGCGCCCCCTAAACTCGAAGCCCCTGGCCTTTCAGGCTCCTAGTGTCTCATCCAAGATGTTAGCACCTCTGGCTGGGAAAGGCCGACTTCTTGCTTTCTCCTGTTATTATAAGATTCTTAAAGGATGTCTCAAGAATGCTGGAGTTTTATGAGCTTTTGCTTTTTCAACTTTTCTATCTCAGTGAAAAATTATTTGCTGAATATTTAGCTATAATAATAGATTTCCACAAGGAATCTATTGCTTGGGATTTCATATCTTACTAGTCTAATGGAACCCATGTTTTTTTTTGTTGTTTTTTTTTTTGCAAAAAATCCTGTAATCTCCTATCATCCTTCTTTAGAAGTTATCCTTTCTGAAACTTTGTCTACTCTCTTGGCCTGTCTAGCACAGTCAAAACCTCCCCCCACTCCTACAGGCTCTATGCATAATGAACACACTTTACATCATGATCATGTGCTTGCTGGATCCTTGAGTTCCCCCATTACAGAAGTTTCCACTGCAAGTCAAAACAGAACCTTCAGGGCAGCTTGCCTTTTAAGCATGGTAGACCCCTTCTCAATGAATACCTTTGTGAGAAAGACTCTGGAAGATTCTTGGTTTCTGAAGTGTATGATACCCCTAGAAGCAGCAAATAAGGTCCTCAGGCTAGAACTTAGAATTCCGTGACCTTTCTTCTCTTGTTTTTTTTTTTTTTTTTTTCCTCAGCAGCTCTTTCACCCCTCAGATAGTCTTTCACCCTTTCTCTTCTGATTTCTTCTTGATTTCAGGTACCTGTTGCTGTGTGTTTGTAGAGGGAGTGGTGGCCCCCCCAAACCGCTTCTGCTATGTCTCCCACCTATCCCTAATCTAACTGGTTTGTGTCTGTGATGAAGACGCTGCATCTGCTCTCACCCTGCTTGTAGCTGAAGGGTGTGCTGGCCACACGAGCATGTGTGTGCCTGCATGTGTGCTTGTGTGTGCTGTGTCTCTCTCTGCTTGATCAAGGGAGCTGTCCCACTGGAGGGCAGGGGCCATGTTTTATAGTGTGTAATCGTCAAAGTGTCCCAGTCCTGGTAGAGCTTCAATAATTATCTGTGCAAATGAACTCTTACGAAAAGAGACAGCAGTTGCAGGGACTTGGCAAAAACACTATCCCAGGAACAGAACCCCAGCTCTGGCCCATTTTCTGCTGGCAGTGGTGGCCTGTTGCTTGGTATCCCTCAGAAACCAGAAGGAAGGCTGTGCTTTCAGGAATCCATAGAGAAGCCTGAATAGAACTGAAGGCTGTCCCTGGAATGACCCCAGATTGCTTGGCAGTAGCCCCAAGAGTTGTGGGAGCAGAGCTAGAGCAGCCTTCCCCAAAAGGTTGTAAGTTATAGGACCCCAAGGGCTTGACATTTAGAAACTGGATAGAGGATTTTCTAGATCCCGCCAGTCCGACCTTTCAAATACTTTCTCCTTAAAATTAGAATTATGAATAAAGTGGCACAACAAATTTATACAGGATTTTGTTTAAAATCCTGTATAAATGCATACTTAGTTGCTTTTGTCCCTTGCTTTTGATGATGTAGCAGCATGGCTGTCCCGTTAATAAACCATGTAGGGATGGAACACCAGCGACCTGCGTTAGTGTGTCTTCTGTGTTGAGCATGCGACAGGTTGCGTTCCGTGTCTTGCCTCAACTAGCCCTCTCCGCCATTGGTTTTGAGGTATGGATACCATTGTTCTCCCCACACCACAGATGTGGAGGCTGAGCTCTAGAAATATGAAGTAGCTTGCCCAAAGTGACACAGCCAGAGTGGCTAATGCCGCTTCCAACTATGGAAGCCGTAACTCTTCCTGCCTGTGTGGTAACAGCTGCCTGATGGCATCTTTCAGGCAAAGCCTCACATGTGCTCTGTCCAGTTTCCCCATTCGTTTGTGGGGTCTTTAGCTCTGCACTCAGTCTTCTCCCACCCACTTCCTCTCTCAGTTCACCATGAGATCCTTTACAGCAAGTCCAAGTGACCGTGTTTTCCCGCTCTCCGCTGTAGGCCGGGCCCGAACACAACTACACCAAGGAGAAGATGAAGGTTGTAGAGGGGATCTGCCTCCTGTCCGGGGATGACGCCGAGTGGGATGACCTCAAGCAATTGCGCAGCTCCAGGGGGGGCCTGCTGCGGGATCATGTGTGCATGAAGACAGACACAGTGTCCATCCAGGCCAGCTCTGGCTCCCTGGACGACACGGAGACAGAGCAGCTCCTGCAGGAGGTGCAGTCCGAGTGCAGCAGCGTCCACACAGCCGCCACTCCAGAAAGACGGGGTTCTCTGCCAGACACGGGCTGGAAGCACGAACGCAAGCTCTCCTCGGAGAGCCAGGTCTAAATGCCTCTGTCCCTTCCTTCCCTGCTGTTCCTTCTCCCGTATGGATTCCAGTCCTTGTGCTCGCTTATACAACAAGCCCCTTCCGTGTGCTCGTCCCGGGCCCCTTCCCACCCCATCAGTGCTCCTGAGCCTTCCCAGGGGCTGTTTCCACTTGAGCCCATAACCACCTGTGCACAAGAAAATGATGGCGCATCCGAGAAGGCAGACCTGGACTTTACCACGCACCTTGCTTCTTGACTCCATTCTGAGCTCCCCTGAAATCAGGCTTGGTAACAAGCCCAGTTCGGAGCAGAGCTCCATCTCCCCTACTCCAGGGGCCCCCAGTGCCTGCTCCACAAGAGGTGGTGACCCAAGACTGCATTCTCCCCCATCAGAGCTGGCGTCTCATGTCTCTGAGAGAACTGGCCCACCGGTGGCTGGGGTGGGGGGTCATTGGGAAAGAGATGAAGGATAGAGGCGAGAGGAAGAGGGGAAGTCAGCCCAGCGGGCATGGGCATCCGGGAGATCCTCCAGCCTCAGTGTGTTGGTAATATGACAGCGCTTTTAGGGACAGTTGGGCCTCGGCAGTCCTGTCCATTGCTGGCAGTGGACATTAATCTGGTCCTGGGAGTCACTGTTTTCTCAGGGGCAGATACTGGTGAGATCTGGGTGTGCCTCACACTGGTCTTCCTCCTATGGAGATGTCTGAAGCCTAATCTACCTTCAGACCTGGGGCCCCTCTTACATGGCAGCTGGCTAATATGAACCTCTTCTAGTGTCACCACTGGCCAGTATCTTTTCTAAGTCCTTGGTTCTATGTAGCCAGCTTGTGAGCCAGTAGCTTGAGTTAATGTGGGGGCCTTGAGGCTGAGTCTTTGCAATGTCTAGGGAGCATTGCTTAGGCCAAATCACCTGAATGTTCATGTCCTGTCATTCTCTTCTTCCTTGTTCTCCGGGATTCTGAGTGTAGTGATCTTGAAACAGCCTTTCAAAGAAGGCCAGACTTGGAAGGAGAGCAATGAAGAACGGAGGCCCCCAGGGCCTGGAGGGAAGTATCCGTGAGGTAGAACCTGTATGTTCTCTCTCAGGTGCTCAGGGATCTAATGGACAAAGAGTGGCTCTGGGGCAGTGAGCCCATTCCTGAGCTCCTCCCAGCCAAGTGACTTACTTCCGCGTGAAGGTGCTTCACTTGGCTCACGCTCAGCCACAGCAAGGCCATGTGTCTCATGCTGGGGTCAGGGAGTCGAAGCTTTGTTCTGTCCTAAGACGTCTACCTAGCTCTTCACCTTTATTTTGGTTCCTAGTTTGCTTGTTTTGACCTAATCTGGTGGCACCTGTGTGAGGAAGTCTAAACCACAAAGATGCAAAGTGGTAGACCAGGAGTAGAAAGGGAGGGCACAGCACTGACGGGGCCCTTCCAGCCCAGGGAGGTCCAGGCCTCGTCCGCTGGGAACTAGAAACTGCTGAGAATGGAGGGGAGTTTTCTAGTTTGCAACACTTTATGTGGCATTTGTATTGAGAAGTCAGTTGCCAAACATATGAGTTGGAAAATGAGGAAAAGAACTCCCTTTTCTGGCCTGTTCTGAATGACTGTAGACAGGTGCCAAGCCCTCAGCCCTGCTCTCAGCAACCAGCCCAGGTCTGCACCTCCCAGCACAGCCAGGCCAAGATGGCTCTTCCAGACAGAGTGGGAAAGGGGAGGTTCCACTTCCAGGCAGAAAGGGACCTTTCAGACTTGATGGGGAAGTAGACCAAGGAGCACTTTCGGCCTCAGACTCAAGCTTGGAGAAGGGGAGAACGTAACAAAGTGGCATTTTCTTACTGGGGAGGGGAAAGGATCTTATTGCACTTGGGCTATTCAGAATGTAGAAAGGACATATTTGAAGAAATATCTATTTGAGCACTGATTTACTATGTAAAAAGCAAAACCTCTCTGTCCTAAACTAATGGAAGTGATTCTCCCGCGCTCATGTGTAATGGTTTTAACGTTACTCACTGGAGAGATTGGACTTTCTGGAGTTATTTAACCACTATGTTCAGTATTTTAGGACTTTATGATAATTTAATATAAATTTAGCTTTTCTTAATGCCTGGCTTGGAGTCATGACTAATAACTGCACCTGCTCTGTCTGGCAGACCTATGCTGTGGAAAACCTGCTTGCAGACATCACCACTTAAGTCTTGAGGGAACGTGGGGTTGGGAAAGAGCAATAGAGGTGTGAAGCTGGAGGTTCAGCTCATCTTGAGAAGACAGGTCAAGTCCAGAAGTCACTGACTAGTGATACCCTCACTTTCTCTAGAAGCAGGCTGGAAGACCAGCCTCATCTGTGAGCCAGCTCGGCTGCCTGAGGCCCTGCCCAGAGTCGATGGGAAAAGTATCCTGATCATTAGTGACATCTCTGAGCACCCAAAGGTAGTGTTGTTCCATTCTAGGTCTAAGAGGACTTCGGTGTCCTGAAGTCCTTTGCCTAGCAGTGAGGTCACTGGCAAGGCAATGTGATATAGTAAGTAAAGTACTGGAAGGGGACAAAAGGGCCTGATTCCAGGCTCAGGTTTGCTGCTACCTGTGTTTCATCTTAGTCGAGTTTCTGAGAGTCAAGGCTCTGAGGCAGCCAGCTAGCTCATTTGCTCCATTTCCAGGATAGAACAAGAAGTTGGAGATCCCTCCTCAGGTTCTCTGGATATGATACATCTGTGAAATCTGGTAACCATGTATATCTTGATGCAGGTACAGATTTTTATGTTAAGTCTCAATAGTTGGTTTTCTAAACCACAATCAATTTCTAGAATAATGCTCCCATTCATCCATTCATTTCTTACTATGGCCAGGCACTGCCAAGCCTAACCAAGAAAGACAGAGTCTCGCAGAGTTTAAAGTCTAGCAACAACCCCCCCCCCCCATCAAAAGATAAAAAGGAAAACAGACTGGCACCTCCTATTGAAATGACAAGCGATCTGAGTGTAAATGTAAACTAGAGTTGTATGATTGCTCCATCTTTGGTGAGGGCATAGGTATGCTAGAACAAAAACAAGTGAACCATCATGCCCTCACTCCACCATTCTTTTTTTAAATTCAAAACAGAAAAGGACATTTTAAGCAGTGACATTCAGCCGAAAGCACAAATCTCATCCCTCTGTACTGCTCTCCCACCCTCACGGTCACCCCCTACCCTCCAAACCTGCGAAGAGGGTTACAGGTCAACCCTCTTTGAATTTGCAACCACTAGAATTGGGAACTCAGGAAGAACTTTCCAAATGGGAAGAGAAAATGAATGCATGACATGTTTTCTTGGAAATCTGGAGCTGTTTCTGGGAGAACAAAGATTGGTGAATGCATTTTGCCATCTCGGGACCAATCAGCGAGTTTGTTCAGGCATCAACATTGCCAGAGCCTTTGGAGGTTGCATTAACCTGCGGCTGTCCTGTCACTTTCACAGGAGATAGGAGAGAATGGGGCTAGCCTGCTGGCCTACTCTGGACAAGAATTTGATCAGTGGCAAATGAGAATTTAATGCAGCATTGAAGATAGCACCCCCATTTTCCGGTTATAAAAATGCACAGAATCTTAGTTTCCTCATCAGTTAAATGAAAGGTTGAACCAGATGATTACTAAGGACATTTTTAGACTTAAGCATAATTTACATTCCTTCCAGGAAGTCTTGGGAATTAAACAAGAGTTGAATATGCCTTGTCTAAATATAAACCCTGAAACTGGTTAAGTAGGGAGATGGTGGGTCAAATTCTAACAAGCTGGACATATTTCTTCAAAGTGCTAATTATGTTCAGAATGGTAGCTCCTGCCCTCCTGCCCTTCTGTGTTGTATGCACTAACTGGAGCCTGAGATAAAAAGAGTTCTGGGCCTACAGAGAGGTCTCCATGGCCTGCGTTGAAGTTTTCACCAAACCTAGGTTGGGAGAAAACAAAGTCAGTGCCACCTGGAAGTCAGGAAAAGCACCCGTTGGCATTGAGGGTGCACAAGGTTCCAATGCACTGACATTCAAGGACATCCCATCAGCCTCAGTTATTTCCACTTATGGACATAATGATAAAAGAAGTGTGGTTGGGCCCTCTCTGTGGCTAAGAAACCATCTATGTTTTTTCTTCACATGAAGATGACTCAACTAATCCTCTTAATAGGACGTATGTCTGGGGATGTTTCAGGCAACCTTTGTTTTGAAACATTCTTAACACTCGCTCATTTTCTCTCCAGCTTTATTTCCAGTCAAGGCTCCAGCTTACAACTCTGAATTCCTTCCTTAACATGGTGTTAAAACAGATCCAGACAGCCTAATTAAGGGTCTGAGTCTAAACCCAAGGCTGAATGAAGTTAGCCCCAAGCTACACAATCTGCTTATTTCATTTTATAAGACAAACAGAGCCAAGAACGCTCATCCTGCTCTTGTCAGTTGGTTTCCCGTTCAGCCTCTGAAAGCTTGCTCGCCAGTTCCCTGTATCTCCGTTATACATCCTTCCTCATTGAGGGGGTGATGATTCTGTGGTCAAAATTCTTGGACAGCCTACACTGGGATGGTGGAAGGTAGGGAAGCTAGGCAAATGGGCTATGAAAAAGGGCAAAAGTTATTCATTCCTTCATTCAACCAGCACCTAGTAAATACAACCAAGTGCAAGTCAAAGCATTAACCCTCCACCCCTCACAGCCGTTTGAGATCTGTATTATTGTCACTGAGCTACCTCCTGGGAACCTGAGAGAAAGTTAACCATTGAAGCTGCTACTCTTCGGTTGAAAATATGGATCCAAGTTTCCTGACAGGGGTGTTTCAACCAGAATGCAGCTTGTGATTATGATGGAATAAATACTGTCCCAACCCTGGCAGGCTTTTCAGAAACACCCAGCACAGTTATCCAGAAGCCACAATGTTTGACATTTGGGCCCAGCTTCCAGCTGTAATAATACAGTGCTCACTTTGATCTCCATTGCCCAAAAGGGTTTCACTGACCTCTAATACTCTGCTTATGTAAGACTATCAAGGGGCTCCTGGAATAAAGTAAGCGCACATACCTGGAAAATACATAGATAAAATGCTATTTGATGATAATCCTGGACTCCAAAAGATGGAGTCAATAAACAAACATTTATTGAACACCTACTATGGGCAAAGGTACTGTATGAGGCCCGATAGGATCCGCCACTCCCCACCTCCACCATCTAGCAGACATTCACCCACTGCTACTCTCCTACTACTAACTACTCTGCCAGCTCATCTGGCCTCTTTTTCTCAAACTGCCAGCTGTGGTCCTAATCTTCAGTCTCTGAAGAGCTGCTCCCGCTGGTTAGTGCTTCCTTTAGATGTGCTCATGGCTAACACCTTTGCCTCCTGCAAGTTTTGCTCCAGTGTAATCTCAATGAAATCTACTCTGACCACCCTTTACAAAATTACAATCTAACCCCACTTGCTTTTTACCCTGTTTTATTTTTTTCTTTGTCCATAGCAGATAACGTCTAATAACACACTATATAATTTATTTATATATTGATTGTCTACATTTCCTCACTATATTGTGAGCCACATGAGAGGAAGAACTTTTTTGTTGTCTATTTTGTTTACTGGTCATCTCAAGGGCCTAGAATAAGATAGATAGACCTATACTAGGTGCTCAATGAATACTTGCGGAATGAGTACACAAATGAACGGAACCAGACACCTAAGGGCCACATTCTGGTAAGACCGCACCTAAGCCATCTAAGACAAAAAGGGATGTTGCCATTTTGTTTTAAAACACTAGGAACCAGATTACAATTGAGATGAAAAAAAAATGTGAAAAATGATGTAAAAATAAACTTTTTAAAAAAAAAAAAAAACACTAGGAACCAGACTCCACGGTCCTTTACTGAACAAATTTCAGGTTACCATTACCCTCTCTTTAAATGTAATCTACAGTTTTATTTCTGATAATATTTAAATAAAGTAAATATGTCAATGACCAAGGACTGAAGACTCTTTCTATATACTCCTAGTCCATTTCTCAAAGGTTATTGTGACCTTTTTGCTCTGATTGGCTTCTCCACTCTCTGTGGTCTTTCTAACTACCACAATTTCATCTTTTCACGTTATGGAGGTGATTCCAATTCTGTTTCACTTGAGTCCTAATTTCCTTCCTCAGCTCTCATTGTGCATTTCCTAGACCTACATATCAATAAATGACTCCATCTCCATGTCTCATTGGCATCATCTCAATGTCTCATTGGTATCTAAAAATAATCAGGCCTAAAACTCCTTGAGAGTGGCTTCTCCTGACTTTCTGCTTACCTTTGGGCAAATGCCACCTCCCAGGCCCCTAGGTTCAAATCCGGACATACATTTTGACTCATCTCCCTTAATGGGCCCCACCCTCACCTTTGCCCCTAATCTATTTGGACCCAGGAGGGGCCCTGGGACTGATGTGCCTGCCTAAAGGACAGGAAGGCACCCAGCTGTCTGCAAAAGAACGACTGTCGAAAAATACTTTGTCACCTTCTCTCATCTTTTCTCATTATTTCCACTGCTGTTAGCTCTGGACTTCTAGTTCTAACCTATTTTATATAACCAAGCCAATTCGTTTTCCTAAATGACAACTCTGAATTTGTCACTCCCCTACTCAGAAACCTATAAGCTCCCCATTGCCTACTTAATAAAATATGAATTCCTTACCTTGTTATTCAAGATTCTCTAATTTGTTGCTAACCTTCTCTGTAAATCTGGTGTCTCATTATTTCCCAATATCAACATTGTTCTAAAATCAACTGCAACATTCAGTTCTCCGCATACAATGTACTTTGTTTCTGTGCCACTGTTTCTACTTTTCCACATGTTAAACATACTCCCTAAATGAACAGTTCAGTAGAAAAAAATCCATTTCTCTCCCTACCAAGTTTCCCACTAAATAGGTTTTTGAATTTCCAGGATGTTCTAAACATTGTCAGGCATTTGAACACAAATACATATATATTTATAATCATGTGTAATAAAGAACATTTCATATATGATTTTTTTCAACTTGCTTGCCTTGCTTCAATTAATAAGATTTACACATTTTTCTGCACCA